GGGGGAAACCACCCAGGGGACCCGCCCGGGCAGGTTGGGAGGAGCGGAGGGGGCCGGGGTCGGGTTTTCCTGGTGGGGGACGGACGCCGGGGCGAGGCAGCTTGCGTGGAGCGGGGAGAAAAGGCTGGAAGCAAGGTGCGGGGGCTGGATGCCGGTGCCATCCCTCTCCTTCTGTCTTCCCAGGTGGCCCCTTGCCCGGTGACATGGCACAGGGACACGTAAAATCACCGATTTTGCCTTCTGGAAACGTACCCCTGGCTTCTTTCCTGGGACCGGTGGGAGTAGATCGGGAAAACTCGGTGCTGGGGACGCAGGTGCCTCAGCTCACCCCTCCCGCCGTCACCCCCCCGGCTCTGCAGGGTCTCACCACCTCCATTTTGGGATCCGTCATCAGTGGTCTCCAAAAACCAAAGCAGAGCGAAAACGGACCTCCCGCCTCCGGGGTAAGATCCCCTCCCTCCGGGAGAAGCCCGTGGCACCTCGGGGGCTCCGTGTCGTCGCCAAATGCCCTCCAACGGCGTTTGGGGGCTGGTTTCTCTGCCCACCCCCCCTGGGGAGCCCCCCAAGCCCTTTGAGAAGCCACCCGAGCCCCCTGGGAAGCCACCTGAGCCCCTCGAGGAGCCACCTGAGCCCCCCAAGTGTTTCTCTCACAGGTCTCACTCCTGGGGGAGCCCCCCAAAGACTTCAAGATTCCTCTCAACCCCTACCTGAACCTGCACAGCCTCTTGCCGGCGAACAGCCTGGGAGGTGAGCGCCCTCCGCTTCCCTTTTCCCAAATGGAGAAGGGAAATCCCCTTGGGATGAAGAGCGGGGAGGAACCGGAGCCCTTTGGGGTTGATTTCTTTCCCCCTCCCCCCTCAACAACTCTTTGCCTTTTCAGGCGCCGCCAACAAAGGGTTTAATCTGAAAGCCGGCGTTTTGGGGAGCATCTCCAACCCTCGGATCTCCCAGCCCTCCCTGGCCGACCCGCTCCTACCCTCACCCGGGCTGGCCGGAGACACCT